AAAGTCCTCATAACATGGAAGACTGTGTTCTTGCACCACCCCTAGATCTTACAATAGTTCTTCCCCTTTCTCCTCAATGACCCTGGGCTCTGGGTGGGTGAGATTTAATATAAGAAACCTATCTAGAGACATGCACAGTGGTGGCCACTGTGTAAATTGCCTTCTGTTCCATGAGGAAGGTTTGTTAGTAAGAGTTGACAGATGCATTACCCTCCTTTCTACCATGTTCTGTGAGCCTACGTGTAGAGGTTCCATTATAGATGTGTCACTTATGGCCTTTGTTCTTACATAAGAATATATATTCACATATTTGATTCACAAAAGAGAGAAATCATATATTGCTTGTTTTTCTGAGTCTGAATTACTTCATTTACTAAAATAGTTTCTAATTCCATCCACTTATCTCCAAATTTCATGATTTAATCTTTCTTTACCATTGAGTAGAACTTCATTGAGTAAATTTATCACAGTTTAATTATCCATCAATCAGTATAAGGGCATTTAGATTCTTTCTCTTTCTTAGCTCTTATGAAAAGAGCAGCAACAATCATGGTTGCACAAGTATCTCTGTAATAGGATGTGTCCTTTGGATGTATGTAAGGATTAGTATAATCAGATCACATGGTAGATTTCATTTTAGTTTTTTAAAGAGTTTTTTGCACTGCTTTCCACAGTGATTGTACAAGTTCAATCCCACCACCATTCCCCTTTCATCACATCCTTGCCAGTACTGGTATCATTTGTTACATGGGATCTTAGCCATTTTGACTGAGTAAGATGAAATCTTAAACTAATTTTGATTTTCATTTCCCTAATTACTAAGGCTTTTGAATACTTTTTAACGTATTTCTTACCCATTTTAATTTCCTTGTTTGAGAATTCTCCTTTCAGATTGATAGTCTATCTTTTACTTGAGTTCTTTGTTTAGTTGATCCTTTGAATTTTTTGAATTATTTATATATACTGGATATTAATCATCTGTCATATGTGTGTGGTGAAGATTTTCTTCCATTCTTTGGGTTTCTGCTTCACTTCTTGATTGTTTCCTTAGTTGTACAGAAGCGTCTTAGTTCTGTTGTCGACTGTTGACCTTAATTTCTGGGTAAATTGAGTTGAATTATTGCATGGTGATAGGTATGGATGTAATGTCACTTTTCTAAACAGATGGAGATTCAGTTTTGTCATCACTGTTTGTTGAAGAGTTCCTCTAAAATAAGTCAGATTCTGGGACACAAAAGAAAAACCTCAACAAATATCAAAAAAATGAAAGAATACCCTCTGTTCTATCAGACCATAACTAAAAACACTTAAAAATAACAGTAAAAGCATCTGTAGCAACGTCACAAACTCATGGAGATTAAGCAATACACTCCTGAATGACTCATGGGTAAAAGAAGAAATCAAGAAAGAAATAAAATTATTTCTAGAACTAAATAAAAAGTATACAAAATAAAACAAAACGTCTGGGACACATAAAAGCTGTACTAAGACAGAGATTCTTAGCTCTAAGTATGTACATTAATCATTAATCAGAAAGAGCACATGTAAATGACCTAATGGTACAACTCAAAATTTTAGAAATGCAAGAACAACCTAAATCCAAACAGGACAGACAAAAAGAAATAATACAAATCAGAGAAGAACTCATAAGATAGAAAGAAAAAAAAAAGCAATGCAAAGAATCAATGAATCTAAGAGCCAATTCTCTGAAAAGACAAATAATGTAGACAGACCATTTTCCCAGGTAATAAAGAGAAAATTCAAACCACTTAAATTAGAGACAAAAGGGAATATTTACAACATATACCAAAAAGATCCAGAACATTTTAAAGGAATACTGTAAAAACCTATACTTTATTAAATTTGAAAAGTTAAAAGAAATAGTTTTCCAAATTCAATGTATTCAAAAAAGTTAAGCCAAGAAGAGATCAACAGCTTGAATGCATCCATTACAAGGAAGGAAATCAAAACAGTAATACAAATTCTCCAAAGTTAAAAAAAAATGGCCAGGCCCATATGAATTTGCAGCAGAATTTTATCAGACATTCAAAGATTTTAAACCAATAATACTTAAATTAGTCAAAAAGACAGAAAAAGAGGGATTCAAAAAAGTTAAGCCAAGAAGAGATCAACAGCTTGAATGCATCCATTACAAGGAAGGAAATCAAAACAGTAATACAAATTCTCCAAAGTTAAAAAAAAATGGCCAGGCCCATATGAATTTGCAGCAGAATTTTATCAGACATTCAAAGATTTTAAACCAATAATACTTAAATTAGTCAAAAAGACAGAAAAAGAGGGAGAACTCCCAAACCATTTCTATGTCACCAGTATTATTGTAATACCCAAACCAGGTAAATATACAACATAAAAAAAAACTCTAAGCTCATATTATTAATGAACATAGATGCAAAATTTCTCAAAAAATACTCAAAAAACACATATAAATACATATCAAAAATATCATTCAACATAACCAAATTGGCTTTATCCCAGAGATACAGGGAAGGTTCAATAGACATAAGTCAATAAGTATAACAAATCATATAAATGGTCTTAAAGACAGTACCCTAATGATCCTCTCAATAGATGCAGAAAAGGTACTTGGCAAAATTCAATGTCCATTATGTTAGAAGTTCTACAAGGTATTGGTCTGAAGGGAACAGACTTCAATATAATTAAAGTTATACAACAAACCTACAACCAGCATCGGTCTAAATGTAGAAAAACTGGCAGTGTTCCCACTAAAGTCAGGAACCCTCAAGCTATCCGTTATCTCCATGATTTTTTTTGTTAATACAGGGCCTGAAACTCTTGCTAGAGCAATAAGACAAGAGAAGGGAATTAAAAGAGTACTAACTGGAAAAAGAGGGTCAAATTATTGTATTATTATATGTGAAGATAATATAATATTATACATATAAGATCCCAAAAATTTTACCAGAGAACTCCTAGGAATTATCAAGTTTAAGCAAACACACAGGTTACAAAATTAATTTACAAAAATCAGTAGTCTTTCTCTACACCAATGACAAGCAATTGGAGAAAGAGTTCCTAGAAACCCTCCCATTCACAGGAGCCTCTAAAAGAAGCTAGGATTGAATTTACCCAAAGATATTCAAGTTCTCTACAATGATAATTTTAAATCTCTAATGAAAGAGATTGAGGAAGACATGGGAAGATGAGAAGACTTTCTGTGCTGATGGATTGATAGAATAAATATTGTGAAAATATTCATACTACCCAAAGCAGTTTTTAGATTCAGGGCAATGCCAATCAAAATCCTGATGACAGTCTTCAGAGAATTAGAAAAATAAATCCTACATTTTATATGGAATGATAAAAGACCCCAGATAGCCAAAGCAATCTTGAACACAAAGAGCAATGCTGGGGAGAATATCATACAAGATCTTAAATTATGTTGCAGAGTTATAGTCATAAAAACAGTATGGTACTGGCACAGAAAAAGATAACATAGATCAATGGGACAAAATAGAAGACCCAAACATGATTGTGTGAAATTTCAGCCACCTGATATTTGACAAAGTTTCCAAGAATGCACACTGGAGGTATGACAGGCATGAAATTATTTTGACTTGTATTTTCCTAGTGACATTGAGCATCTTTTCAAGTGCTTAGTGGTTATCTGTGTGATTTATTTGAAGAAATATTTTACAAATTATTTTTCATTTGAAAATTATTTTTCTTTTTTTCAGTATGATATCTTTTATTTTTCTATTTATTTATTTACTGTAAATATGGAGCGGCACATGAAACATGGTCCACATGTGGAGATCAGAGGGCAAGAATTATTTTTCATCTTTCACCAAGTGAGATCTGAGATTTCAACTCAGGTCCTCAGGCTTGGCAGCAAGTACAATTCTTCAAGGAGCCATTTCACTGGCCGAAGTCTTTTATTTTGTATACTCAATAAACCTCATCAGAATCTCCGATACCATGTTAAATATCAATGGCATGGGTTAATACTTTGTTCTGTTTCTTGTTTTAATGAGGTAGTAAATATCTCATTTTACCTCTTAACATCCCCTTCAACAGGATGAGAAATTCCAATGTAATTAGGGAAATATAAGTCAAAATAATTTCATGCCTGCCCTCATGACATTACTAGAGATATGTCTCCTAGGTGGTTCCAAATCTGGTCAAATTGGCAGTGGCGATGAGCCATTACATTATGTAAACTAAGTACTAATAAGTACATTTGGTCATTGATATATCTGTGACACTTGGCTACTCCCATTTTTGTCATCTTTCCCATAACTTCAGAAACATTTTTGAAATTAAAATGTCCCCAGATGTTCTCTCAAGTGTGCCCTCTTTGTTCATGATATAAAATTTGAATTGAGTGTCACAATTAAGAGCTTGAAGGAAAAAAATATAAAAGGAATATAGGGAATGTTCAAAGAATAATGAGTAGGTACATGTTTCAGTACCCTTGGTATTAGAGTTGATGAAGTAAAAACATCTATGGAAGAAGGAAAATACTTGGAAGCACATCAATCAACAATCATTCAAAGTATGCCATGGTGTATTTATTATGTAACATTTAATATAAAAATATAGCATGCTGTCCATTCAATGGACATTATTGTTGAATATGTTAATTCTCAAAAACACAGTGATAAATTACCTATCGCATATTTACTTATATGATGCATATCAATTTCAAAAATCAGAGCATTAAAAATACTCATCTTAAAATTTGTATATTTGGGAGGCCATTTCCAAAATGATATAGATTTAATTTAAAATTTAATTAAAAATTTTCAAAATATTTAAAGATAAAAATAGAAAATAGTTATTTTTAGTAACTGAATATAGCAAGTGATAATATTTGCATATATTTATTCCCTGTGTTATTTTTTTTCAAGATATTGAAATACATTTAACATCAGTTCAAACCACTAATACATCATCAGTGATCATGAAACAGACAATAACAAGACTAATAGAGTTTGCTATGAAGTTAAAAATTACTTAGTGTGCTCACTTCAACAGCACAGATACTAAAAATGAAATGATACAGAGAAGATTAGCTTGGACCCTGTGCAAGGCTGACCAGGCTCCAGTGAACAGACTCACACCAAGGGTTATCTGGGGACAGAAACTTGGCTTGATAGGCTTTAACATATATGACAGAATTCATGAAAACTTGTGGGGGCCATGAGGGATGTCTAAATATGATCAATATATATTGCATGAAATTCACAGAATATCAATAAAAATTTAGAAAAAAATTATTTAGGATACAGTCAAGCATGGTGGCACAAGCCTTTAATCCCAGCTCTCTACTATAGGGAGACCCTGTCTCAAAAAGATAAAAATAAATTCAGGATAAATGTGGAAAGAGTAAATGATTGAGATAAAGGTAGAAGCAAGGGAAAAGGGAAAAATGGAGGATAAGAAAGGTTAAATAAGTGAAAGGAGAAAGAAAAGGAAGAATGAGAAAAATGTTTTGGGTGGAAGATAAGAAAGCAAGAGGTCCAAAAACAATTTTAAAGCTGGGAGTGATGACTCATGCCTATAATCACAACACTTGGGAGCTGGACACAGAAGGGTGAGGAGTTCTAAGCCATTTTTGACTGTATAGTTCTAGGTTGGTCTCAATCAGTTTCTTTCTCAAGAAAAACAAACAAACAACAACAGCAAATAAAAATAAAAAAGAGAAAAATAAATAAATAAAAATCCAAACTAGAAAAAAAAAGAAAAAGAAAAGAAAGATTTATAGTAATGAGAAAGTTTGAAAGCAACATTAGATAAATGCAAGAAAGGGAATAAAAATATAAACAGGGACTGGAGAGAAGGCTCAGCAGTTAAGAGCACTGGCTGCCCCTGCATAAGGCCTGGGTTCCATTCCCTGTACCCACGTGGCAGCTAATAACCATCTGTAGCTCTCGTTCCAGGCATCTGATGCCCTCTTCTGACCTCTGAGGGCACTGCATGAACAGGGTACACTTACATGCAGGCAAAACATTCATACACATAAGAAATAAATATGTAAAAATTTAAAAGCCATTACGTTTTTTTTTTTTTTTTTTTTTATTTATTTATTTATTTTGTGGGGGAGGGAAATCAGACTGGCCATGAGGTTAAAAGAAAAATAAAAAAAATAAAAATAAAACTAGGCTTGCTGGCACACACTTTTAATGCCAGCACTTGGAAGGCAGAGACAGGTAGATCTCTTCAAAGCCAGCCTGGTCTACATAAGTTCCAGGCCAGCCAGGGCCACATAGTGTGACCCCCCATCTCAAAAAACAAACAAAAAAAGAAAATAATAAAGGAAAAGCAATAGGATACAGTAAAAATAATAACAGTTTAGAGAAGACAAGAGAGAGAAAGAGAGAGAGAGAGAGAGAGAGAGAGAGAGAGAGAGAGAGAGAGATGGAGGGAGAGGGAGATAGTAGAGAAATAGATC